TGAATGGTAAAAATGGAATATAGGTCAAATGGCGGCCGCGATCTATTTCGCTGTTGAAGTTTTTTTTTTTTAATTTATTTAATATTTTTCCTGGAAAGATCACAACAAAATCCGCGCGCACTCCGATTTTCAGTTTTTTCACGCATTCTTCTGAGCATGAAAAATCACTGAAGTTGGAGTACTTTTTCCGTTGGCCACACATGGCTGAGTGGCAAAAATGGAAAATGTGCCGAATTGGCGCGGCGATTATTTCACGGTCTTAACGATTTTTTGAAACTTTTCTGATACTTTTCCTGGAAAGAGCATGACCTAATCTATGGATTCTAAAATTTTCGGATTTTTCTGCGAACTCCTCCGAGCGCAAAAGATCGCCAAAGTTGCCTCTTGCAAATTGCGGGACTGGACCCGCTGGTACCCTCCGCCTTGGACAGCCTGCGCATGGAACTCCCCGACAACGCATCCCCTTCTTACTTCTTTTTGTGGTCCGCTTCCACCTGAGAACCAGTCGTTCCTTTTTCCAAAAGTCCCGTTTCTACGAGAGGTAGCTGTAGGTCGTCCGCAATATCGCCAAGGACCGGTACCCCAAAAATTTTTGCCCCCTAAGAATCCACTTGTGTCCTGGTCGCCCACCACCGAAAATGCGACACCTTGACACAGACGCTGAAACCCACTATACCACAGCCTTAGGGCTGCGAATAGCCTTGAAAACCCTTGCCAGCACCACCATTTCTAAGGGCCAGCTCTCACTGAGGTGTTATGTTCGTGATAAGAAAAGCATGAACCTGGCCGCTTGTCTGACCAGAACCATGATTTATAAGCACAACACAGCACCCATGGGACCTTGTCCTCGGTGAAGCCACTCACCCACCAGCACAAGTCACGATTGGGTGGGGAGGGGAGGGGGGGCAGGGGAGGGGGGGGAGGGGAGGGGGGGGGGGGGGGGGGGGGGGAGGGGAGGGGGGGGGGGGGGGGGGGGGGGGGGAGGGGAGGGGAGGGGAGGGAGGGGAGGGGAGAGGAGGGAAGGGACAGAGGGAAGGGACCAGGAGGGGTTGAGGAGAAGGGAAGGAGAGGGGAATGGAGGACGAGGGGCTGTCCACTTGTGCCAAATGCTCAGAGCGCAAAAAAGGGGAGGAGAAATTGGAAAAACGACAAACATATCGAGCTCCACCTGTATGGTTTCTGCCAGAAATCCAGCAATTTGTCCACTTGTGCCAAATTCCACGAGATTCATCACATCTTGGGCATACTTGCTGCCATCATTTCCGAAAACTCCTCTGTAGGGATCCGGATTCAGCGCATGATGAACTCCAAATCCCTGCAGCAATTGTGTCATACATCACAGCAGGGACAAAATGAACGTCACTCGGTTATCGTTTTAGTTTGGTATTCACTCGGTTTTCTTTCCGAAGTACTTTATGCAATCATACTCGTTTTCAAACACACTTTTCATGCATGTAAACAGCAACGCAGCATACTGGCGACATGCGCCCACACAAGACTCAGAGATATGGCTTCAGATATGAGTTCACTCTCAATCAGTTATGGCGACTTCAGCGCCCAAACAACTCACTGTTCACATACACTGGATCACCCTGGATATCCCACACGCATCCCTCTAACACTCCAACACTTACACACCCACTCACTGCTAATTACAGCTATG